TTTTTATATTCCAGAAGGCCGGTGTGATTGAATAGGTATAATAGTGTGTGCCGACTGAGCTGTAAAAGCTGTAAGTTAATCCTCCGAGCCTTCTCAGACGCTCGCTCCCGGGGTTCTGGGACATAAGTAAATGCAGGTGGTCTTACTTCTCAGCCCCTCGCGCCAGGCCTTAGATCTGACAAATAAAATCATACTGTGATGTGTCTCAACAGTTGATCGGAGTCCAAGAAGCGTCGCTGAAATGTTTGTGCAGTAGGAGACGGTGAATTTGCCAATAAACGTATGGGATGCTGCTATTACTTTATCTTTATTTAGGCCTTCATTAGGATGGTTCTTTGAGTGAGACAGTAAATCTGCTGTGCATGAGTACCTGACAGTGTTCCAGCTGTGGCCAACAGGTCACCTTCTGATGAAGTCATTTATAGGTAGCACAACATGCTCTAAATGTTTGGTGGGGGTCCAGCTTTTATGGCTCCGAGGGGAAAAAAAAGCTGTGATCTAGCAATGACTCACCCACTGCTCACCAAATCTGTTTCTGAAATAAAAAAAGCCCATTCTGGTGTCAGTGATCTCATATGGGTCTTTTTTAACATCTGGTATGCCCAACCGGAGGATGGCAGGGGACACGTCGCCATGAATATTCAGCAGTTCCCGCTATAACTCTGGGAACACTGCGTAAATTGTACACAGCCCTAGGAGCCAAACAAACCGACCGCTGCAGAAGTCATTACAGATCTATGTGCCTTAATCGTTACTAAGCTACCGATGAACGCACAGGGACCTGCGGTTTGCAGAGACAGAAAGAGAATAGGTCTCCTCAATCAAAAGTCATCAGGGAAGATCTTCTTTGGCGGCTCCTGATTGCCTTCAGATATGGAAAAGCAATTTTCTTTGTTTTGATTTCCTCGTCTTTTTCCAGAGCATTCGTCAGCTTTCACGTCGCAGACTCAATTGTCCGGCGACGTGCTGCTGGAGATCTCCTGTTATTCTCCAGACAGATTGGAAAAATGTTCAAATGAGACACCTTACAGATGATTTTCAACTGAGAGTACTTACACGAGGAGCGATTTGCCCGTCCTTGCCAACGAAACCCGAAAAAATGTTTCTTTTTCGGTTACCGCACATAAATATTATCTGGGGTGGTGGTGGAGGGGGGTGGGGGTTCTGCGAATTGACAGCTGAGGCGAAGTTATCATGTCTTTCCTACTTGGTTTTTTATCTTTTCTCATCTTTCTGTGCCTCTGAAAAAGCCGCTTCATGTCAAAACATCAACCCCGAGCGCTCGCCACTCCGTGTGCACACCATTTAGTGCCAATCAAGCATAAAACACCATCCCTGAGGCTGCAGTCAAGTACCCACTAACACCCTCCACTGTGTGTATCTGTGTGCGTGAGTGTCTTTTTTCTCAGCACAAACTGAATGCCATACTAAATTAAAATTATACAGTCA